CGAGGACTCTAGATACGATGGTAGAACGTCCAGCTCTGAAACGAGGCATCAAAGCTCCAAGTTTAAGCCGAGTAATAGCTGGAATCAGGTATCCCCGAATCTGGAGATTTCACACTCGAACGGGGTCGAAATCGGTCAGCTCGAGAAACCGAAGCTGATCGTTCCGGTTAAAGTGAATCTGGTACCAGTGGCGAACTTCGACCACGCAACGGCCATCGGCAGTAGCCAAGGTTTCGACGTGTCGAATGCGGTTTTGCAAAATATCGTCTCGGGGAATCCGCTTAGCACGCCATCCCCGGCTATGAGCACCGCCGAAAACGTTCTAAGTCAAGATTCCAAGATAAGAATGTCCACTCCGGTGCCAGACATAATCGTCGGCCAGAACGGCTATCAGAACTCCGTCCAGACGAACGAGCAAAACAAGTTCTCTATGAACTTCAAACCGCAATTCATCTCCACCACGGTTGCCCCGGTTTACGCGGTCACTCCGAGCTTGCAGAGTATATCCGTCCAGGATATCCAAGGCGCGTCTACGCCTCGACCGACCTACGTCAGCGCTTCGAACCAAGTGCAACACCCTTCGACGAACCAAGTGCAAGGAAACGGACCGCAGCTGGTGGTTCCTCAGCCGACTCTTCAAACCATCTCCACGTTGCTGCACACCCCGGTTCCCAACTCGGACTTCAACATCCAGGTGAATCCTCACGGCATGCACGGTCAGAATCCCATCGATCACGGTAATTTGCAGCTGCAGGCTGTGCCAACGGTGTCCACTGTTACTTCTACCGATCATTCTGTTCCTATGACGAAATTCAGCCTGCTGCCCGCGGAATCGCAGAGCAAGAAGACTCTGTTCCCTAATTCCAACACGAATTTCTTGACCTCCGCAAATTTTCCTATCGGTCAGAACGATCAAAGACAGGTGAACGGTAATTATTACCTGCAAAATTCGAATAATCAGCAAGTTAAATCGCAGCTGCAGGGAAATCTGTATCAGCAGGTTCTGAGGAACGTTAACGTAGCCCCGAAGACCAAGACGTACGTTCAGACGACGCATCTCCTTCCAGCGCTGTTGCATCCAATGCCCACTATCGCTACCATTGCGGCCAGTACTCCTCAAGTGTTATCCGATCATCAGAACGTTCAAGGTAACGTGGTGCTGCAGGCGCCTCGCGATCAGAATCAGCAGTTCCTGAAGATTCAGAACACCGGGGCTGATAATCAATTATCGACGCTGAGGAAATTGCCGTCGCTCGTGTATCAAACGATCGACAACATGGGTAGCCATAGCACTAGCAGTGTTAATACCGTGAACGCGTTCCCGGGAATCACCGATACGGCTCATCTACCTTACGTCGGCACCAGGAACGTCGAAATCGTGAATCCGAACATCAAACCAAGCCCCATCGACACGACGGTCCTGAATTCCTACGAGACGATGCATTACCCAGCTACGGTGTTAACCACCTCTATTCCCATGTTCACCACCACCAGCTTCGTGACCGCTAGACCTCTGCTCTCGTCGACCACCACAGAATCCAGCCACGTTCAGGGTCTGGTGAATTCATTGACCGAGATAGGGTCGAAGAATCATCAATCCACGGGCGATTTGAAAGCGTACCAGTCTCAGGACAGACCCGTGTTCAATCCGATCAATTTCGTTCCAAATATGGATCTAATGAAGAGTCAGAGCGCTCTGAACAGCAAACTACACGCGTCTGAACCTCTTCCACAGAATCTGAATCTCGTTCCCTTGATACCAGGTGGTAATTTCTTCAAACCTTCCTTCACGTCCCAAGGAGAGTTGCTGGTGAAACCGAAATTAAATTCAGACCTGGCGACCTACGCGGAGCAAATGTTCAAGGAGTCCCTGAAGACCATCTACAACACCCAGAAATGGAACAACGATAGAAAAGCAGCGAACCAGGCGCGTCAGAACGCGTCCGATTCGGACATCGCGAAGCTGAAGAACGAACTGCAACGTTTGAAAGCTTCGCTGTACGATTCGAAGAGGAACAAGGATCAGCTGGAAGGACATCAAACTGAGACCAAAGTGCAGACAGCTGAGCTGCCCGGAAAGAAACCAGACGAATTCTTGGCTGCACTGGAGCAGATGTTTAAGAACCATCATACGGAACCTCCGCACGTGTATTATGGAAATAATAAGCCGCACAGGTATCGAAGACCCGAGCAGGATAAATATAATCCAGGATCGAAGGGCGAACATTTTAAAGAGACGAACCACATCAAAGATTTTATGACACCGCCGCAGCCAAATCCCTATCGATCGAAAGGACATTTCCATGATAAACCGGGAAAGAAGAGACCTATCTCTGGACCAACGAGACATAATAGTCATCATAATCATCATCACGGACCGAGACCGTATCCGAGGCACCATTTTTCCCATAAAACCGGCGGTGTCGAAGGTTCCGCGACGAATCTCGATCCAGTTTACTTGGATGGATTTTCGCAGCGTGGAAATCTGCACGATTCCAGGCAACGAGTTCGTCCGGAATTCAGAAAAAGCTCGCCGTTCGATTCTTATTCCTCGTTCTCTACACAGTTACCGGAAAAGAAGGGTTATTTCAATGGGTTTAATCAGCAGAAAGGATCGATCGGTAAAGAGATCAATCATCCAAAGACTCACAATCTACTTGGTTTGTTGATGAAGAACAAACAGCTACCGGAAGGAAGGAATACGAGCTATTTCCGAGACCAGGATCAATTGAAGCAGTTCTTCGAAGGCGAGAAACAACGATTGCAGCAACAATTTTACGACGACACTTTGAAGGATTATATTTATAAGATGTCGGATGGTCATGGTGGCTCCGATACCAGGAGATCTTTGCCACATTTACAGAAAAGTAGAGTTTGAATTATAGCAGCGAATTGTCCGTGAAAGGATATGTATGTTTTAATCCTACGATTCAGGTCAATGATTTGTCTATTGCAAAAGAAAATATGAGAGTGCATTGTAGGGTTGAAATCGTTTTTACCTTTTCTTTAAGTGCAATAAATAGTAGAAAGTAAGTACCGTTTCAAAGTAAAAATTACGCTTGCGTCGAATTAAAAGCGTTTCAAAAATCGAGACTGAACGAGAAGAGTTCTAACGTGTGTCTTTAAGGTGCTAACACTTGTTGTATATACTAATTATAATATATAAATGAATTATGTAAAAATAATATTTTGTTGTATTTTATCACCTCCGTTGTTCCTTTTGTTTTTAAAAGCCTTTCGTTCGAGTTATATAACGCGACAAAATTAATCAGCAAACACTTGGCCTCGTTTTTATCCTTCTAATGCAAGTTAAATATCGCGTTTACACGATAGGGTACTTTCACTGAACAAGCAGCGCGATTAATTGATTTTACAGAGCATCACGATGTTCCATCACGCAACATTAATGCCTCTCGCTTTTTCTCACCGTTAACTAATAAATCATCGTCAATTATAAATAACACACGAAACACAATGTTTCGCTAGAAATACAACGAAAGTGAAAGCGTTTCGTCGAGGAGAAAGATTTGACACCGACCTTGTTATATTTTCACTTGCTTTACGGGGTGCGCAAGAAAGTGTGAAGAGTATTTTTCTAAACGCTCGTTCGAAAGGACCTCGGTTTTAAAAAGAAATTTAGATGGTTTTTTTAAAGAAATCTTAATGCATCAAAGATATAATGAAATCGACGTAATGTGTATCACGAACAAGTGCCTACAACTTTCACCAGAAACGACGCAGTCGGCAAGCAATTAGAAACAAATTTTTTGCAGCAATTCCAATCTACGACGCCGTTCAGAATAATATGCTCGAGTAATTTTCTCGGGGACAATAACCAACGAGTAATTGTACTTCCGTTGAATAATTTCCTTTATCAAGGATCGGCTTGAAATTCGCTTATCAATGGTGCACTCGGATGCATCGTGATCCGTTTTAACCTTGCATCGAATTGTTCACGGATCGCGTAAGTTTGTGAATGGACGAGTAATAGACGGCGGAGGGTCTATCATTATACGGCGAGATTGATTAGTCGAGGTGCTTCGAACGTTGTTATTAGGAAGATTGCAGTAACTGTGACAGATGCCGTCGACTAAACCGCAGACCACGAAACCGAGGAAATGCAACGTTAACGAGTCAGGTCATTGACACCTGTGCTTAGGCGACGACAATCAGGGAGAGTCGCGGAGATTTGACGCGGTTTTTCTCGACACGCTTTTTCTTAATCGTAGAAAACCCATTCGGTTGTCTCGCATCGCTAATCGCTGAATATAAAAGATCATCGACTCCGGCTCGCAGCCAGTTAACAGAGAACTTTGCTATCCGTCTGTCTCGATAAAATCGACGCGATGCTGGTACGTTTTGCATTTAACCGGACGAATGTCAAGATGAAATCTTCATTGTGCTCTTAGTGAATTCGGTGAAATTATTCTATTTCAGATACTTCTTGTCGCATTGACTGTGGCGGTGCTGGATACAGCCGTCGGGGCGGAGTACCAATTTCATTTGAGATCCAGAAGAGGTGTCGAAGCTGGACACAATCCTCAGGAATTTCGCCAATCACGGTATAAGAATCCAAATGTACAAAATACAAGAACCGAGGATGCAAGGCCTTCTTCTTACAAGAGCGGCAAAATAAATCCGGAAGAATCGGTGAATGCATCGTACAGTAATTTACGTCAGTCTGAATCTCAAAGCAACGAATCGCCGTATTTAGATAAATTGTTCACGATGACTGCGAGTTACAAGGTTGCAAGTGATAAAATTAAACCATCCAAGCAAATTAGCACCCATAATCAAAATCCAGGAACAGAAGGTGAGAAATTAAATCCATCTTTTTATTATTCTATTTCATTATCTATTAATTATTTTTTTTAGGTGCTTACGGTGCGTTTCCGTCTTTCAACGTTCAAGTCCCATTGTACAAATCTTCAGGTCTGCAAAGTCACGCGCCGATTTTCCAGAACAACCCTTACAGCGATGCTACCAATCAGAAGAAACAATCTCTGCCAATTCTTCAACTACGAAATACTCAAGATCTCTCCACGTACTTGACCAACTTCCAAAATCAACCGTACCTCTTGAACCCAACCGACTATCGGTTCAGTTTCGTCGGCAAAGCTCCGAAGGTGAATAACGTGCAACTGGGTTCGCCGTTCCTGTCGCCGCTTTCCAGTTTTCAGAGTCAAGTGGTCCCGATTTCCACGGCAGTCAACAGCCCGCAATTTCCACAGTACAAAGGAGCAAGCATACAGGTTTACCCGACTGTCGGCGGTTTCCCGGCGACTGCTTATCAGCCTCTTCAGACGCAGCCGCAATTGCATTTTCAACAGGACACGATGCAACGTGTGCAACCTGTTGGGGCTGTTCCTCAGTCGGCACCCGCGCAGGAAATAAGAGCCGACGTGGAGATCATCGACAAGCATCCCACGACTCCACCTCCGAAGAGAGACGACGAGGATGGTGATGAGGAAGGAGGTTTGTGTTTAAAATTAGCTTTTCGATTTTTTTAGATGTTAAAATAATTTCTTCGCGCAGGTTACACGCCAGATGAGAAGGAATACAGGCCGAATTCAGAGACCGATGAAGAGTACGATGATAAACCGGACAGGTATTTTAAAGCTCCTCGAACAGAAGGGAATTTCAAGCCCTCCATGACGTTCCCTTTTAAACAGTACGACGAGAAATTTGGAAAATACTCCGATCAGAACCACGAAGAGGAAGTTGATTATGATAGCAATGAAAAGATCCTGTCGAATAAATATCAATCAAAGGACACTTTGTCAAAGCCATACTATAGTGGACAAGAAGAAGAAGACGATGATGGTAGAGGAAGTTATGAGAAACAGAAGGCTGAAGAAAGCTCGGAGAATACTTATAGACCTAAATATTTCGATAAGAACTTCGACGAAGAGTTTGGGGCTCCGTATAGAAAAGAATCACCGCCGCAGAGTAAGTATGTAGTTTTTGGAGAGGTAGGAAAAGAGGAAAAGTGATTTGTAATTTCAGAACCAAGAAGAGACGAATCGGAAGATCCTTCCAGCGAAGAGAATCGAACGAGTCTGAAATATTACAAGGCTCCACACTATTACCAGGATAACGAAGGACATAGCAGCGATAATTTAGGGAGAGTGTCCAAGGTGATACACGAAGAAGGTTTTGGATACAGAATATCCAAGGGGAATAAAAGATTTTGAAGTTCAAATTATAGAATAGTCTAAGATTCATCATTTAGAATCTATAAACCCGTTGTTATTGTTATGTATATTTGTATATAAGTTCTATATAAATTTGTATCACGAATGAAACTTACTTGAAAAGTCATTCCACTTCCATGTCCATACAGTTAATCGATCAAAATTAACTCGTACCTAAGATTGAACAGTGACCTTTGACACAGTTATTCGCATCAAATAAATCTCGCTTTCCCTCGTAAGAAATACCTGAAGCAAATCAGATAACATAGTCACCGAGATCCTTCAATTTCCGGGCAAGTAACTGCTGTTCCAGTAGAGTAATTGTACATCGAATCGGTCAGAATAAATGGTCATTAGACAATAAAGACCTGTAATTTCATTGTACCGTTCCTATATTTACTTTACCTTAATGGCTTTAATTAATCCCGTCATTAAATCGACGTCGTCCTCCCACGAATCCAAATCTGTATATATACTGGTCCTTAGAGCCGAAGCATTCAGTATCATCGATAACATCATCCAAAGCTGTTTCAAGATGAAGACCATCGGCATGGTAAGAGCAGCTACACATGAAACAAAAATTCCACTACGTCAGAATAATTTTCGAAATGTCAACAGATCATTATTGCTCTCGCGTGGGCAAGTATAGCAGAGTCAAAATCGCAAGGGAAGAAAGAGAAAAGAGGGGTGGCACTGTTGGGACCATCGGGTTACGACTTCTTTGGGGTTGCGCCCATATTTTCCACCGCCCCATGGACACCCACCAATTTTGGGTCTACTTCTTGGAGCTCGTCAGGTGCACCTGATGTTCCCTTAACGCAAGTTCAAGTTCAAGCCACCCATGATATCGCTATTCAGGTTAATAACTAAATATATTTCCCTTTTTATAGTAATAGGATGATTTATTTAAATTAATTACAGACGCTGAGAGATTCCTCCTCTGGGACGCCGAGCATTGCTTACCCTCCAGATGTTCTGAAAGCCATTCAACAAGCAAAGGACGCGAATCGCAATGTAAATTTGGCTCAGCAGAGAGTAGCAGAGGCTAAACAAGCCGCTGTCATTCAACAAAAGCTCGCACTGGCTAAGGAAGCCTCGGCGAGGGAGGCTGCGGCAAGGTAAATTACGAAAACATAGTACTCCTCTTCGATACCATCCTTTTACCGTGTCCTTAGATCGCAGGAGATCTCGTCAAACGCAGAAGCCGAGGCCAGAGCCAGTGCAAAACAATTGGTGGCAGCTCAACAGAGATTGGCGTCGCTGAAGGATGCAGTTGCAGCTGCTCAAAGGGTGGCTGCAGCCAGGGAGGCGGCTGCAGCGGCTGCGATTCAGAGGAACGCGGCTGAAACTGCCGCTCAATTGCAGAAACAGGATGTCGACAAGCAGATCAGTCAGAGCGAACAGGAAGCGAAGGTATGCGTTCGAGTAATTACGATTCGATTGTTAATAAATACTACCATCATACAAATTTCTGAATCTTCTATGAGAAAGAGAAGAAGCTTTCCCTTAAATAAAGTTATTCAAATTTTCAGGAGAAGGACATAATTGCAGCCAAGGAAAATGCTGTGGCGAATGCCGTGCAGCTCTCCGCGCTGCAGAAACCACCGCATCATCCCTGGAACCGCTGAGACCCTTTATTTTATTATACAAACACGTTAATTTTGTATCGGTGATGGTGTACCCAATTGTTTATATTTGTTGTCAATAAAAATCGTTTCAAAAATTCTGTCTCTTAATTTACCCGATAATCATCTCGTTTAATTAACTGGAAAATGTCGCTGTGGTTTGGGTAACCGCATCGTGGAAGATTATCTAACAAGAATCCGCGATCGTGACACACTTATCGTTGCACCAGGTTCAAGAATCTCTGTCTAACCATTTCCTGGACTGATTCGAGACAATGGCAGCGAGACCGGTACGCTGCCAGGAAGTGGCAGTGAAAGTTACAGTGGGCAGCGTGATTCGTTTCGCAGGAAGACAGTACCAAAGAACGCAATATCAGTGTCCAGTTACGTGCAACGCCCTGTTAGTGGCGGCAGCATCTACGACCGGGTTGGATAAACTGTCCGTATCGAATCTACCGAGGTATCCCTCTCTGAATCCTTTCACTCGCCTCTTTCTCCACCATCACCTTTCTCCCCTGAAACCCTGCCGGGCCGTCCCGGTTCCACGAATCAGTAGTAATTATCTAGGAAGAAAGTCGTTCGATCAAAGTCACCCCTACCCTTGCCCCTTGACCGTTCACCTGGGACAATGACCCCTGCTTGTTTCGAAAGACTACGTAAGCCTCTTGAATAATTAAACGATTCTAATTTTTTCGGTTTTTATTAAAAATAAAAGTCTAGTTACGAAAAATAGTTATTTAATAATTTTTCATCGAAAAAGCAGGAACGATCCGATCTGTTTCGAGAATAGGATCGTAATAACTGTAATTCGGGCAGATACAGCTATTTTAATGGCCACCAGCTCCTCCTTTCACGCCGAACTAGCCAATACTTTCATCGACGCTGCTTTTTTTGGATCTACTCGGTTTTCGCCTTTTACCTCACCCAGTTTTATTTTCTTTACTTTCTTATTGCGTGAAAGAACGCGCTGCTCTCACCGAAACTAGCCGTAACTCGAACTTTTTTTCCAACTACCCGGGTCACGAAAGAGTGCGATCCTGTATTCAACGTCAAAAATGTTACAAAAATGGTAACGATAATGTATTGAAAGTTTCCCATCTATAATCTCGTAAAAACTTAATCACGTCCGGAGTTTTAATTGATTTAATCGTCTTCGGTTAGTCACGCTTCGGTTGCACGGTAGAATTTCATGCCGGTGACATCGCAAAATAGGGCAAAACGGAAGAAAGAGAATCTCGCCGTAGGAAAGGAAATCGCTTTCGACGCCAACGAGCCAAGGAAAGATCACGATCGGTTCGCATGGGCGTTCACCGCGTTCACTGATCGCGTTAGTTTCAGAATCTTACCGTGCATTCTGTCAGCGTTTCTCGAGGAAGATCGAGCAAAGATCCCCGGTCCTCCGGTCGCGTGAATCTCCATCAATTTATTTCCACCTTGGAAAATCCCTTTGTCGAAAGTTCCGGTAGCCCTGTGTTAGAAATTCAACCAAGAACGAAAGAGGATCTCGAAGCATAAAATAGAAAGCTAGACAACGATGGATCTGTTACAGAAATAGTCCGTGACTATTTGATTTCCCACGTACGAAATCACCCTTCGCAATTCTCCATTTCATCGACTTGACACTGAAAGTCAATTCTCATCCGAGACGTACAGAAACGTCGGGTGTCGTGTTTCGTCACACGAGCGTATTTCCTACCGACGTGTGTCGGATATGAGCTCGAACATGCAAGTCCGGTTTCCAAGAGAGAGATCATCAGTGCGTCTAGGAAGGGGAGAGGGAGAAAGCGTATAAAAAGGATCGGTCCATCGGCAACTACCCGCAGTATCAGTATACGTTTCTTCAACCACCGTTCTTAATCGTAGACCTAAAAAAAGAAAAAAAAAAAAGAAATGTCCATTAATGTAAGTAACCTTAAAAAACGTAAGATGATTTATGCGAATCAGGCACGGTAATGAAAAGCGTTCGAGGGAACAGTGAATCGTGGTAGCGAGGGATGTTTCGCGTCTCCATGAAAACTGCGGCCAGTATCGTGAACGATATCGGTGAAAAGTGACTATTGTTTGCTCTCGCGTATCTTCTTCCATACACAAGCTCGATGTACATTGTCGAGGGCTCGTAAAGCCGCTGGCATTATGGCCCCCATTCGTCTCCCGCTTTATATTCATGCCTCGAAAGTTACGATCGCAGTCAGCGAACGTTATACTCGCCGGCGAGTGATTTACCAGCATTTGCTGACAGAGTTTATAACGTATCGATAGAGAAAAAGTTTACTTGCCATTCTTCGTGGCTTCGCGTTACGAATATTCATCGTTCCCATTGTTTCAGGTACTGCTGCTGTGTTTAATCGCGGGATGCGCTTTGGGGAGCATCGAGGCAGGTGGTGACGGAGGCTGGCAAGGGTAAATATTAAAATTAAAACAAAAAGAGATTCTAATAGATGATTAATTCACAATTGATTCGAAACAGGGTAGCAAGCAGCGGCGGTTACGATTCCGGACACGGCATGGAATTAGGACACGTATCAGGGGGAGGACTGTACGATAGTTTGTCTAGTTACGGTTCCGGTTATGGTTCTTACGGGGGCGGGGGTTACGATCATGGATTGCACGGAGGACACGTGCAGCATCACTATGCACCAGCTGTGCCAGTAAGCGAGCACATCGAAGTGACGAAACCTATACCGATACCAGTCGTTAAAAACGTCGGTAAGTTTCGCTCATCCACCATCGTTCCAAAGCTAATTGCGAAACGAAGCAATTAACTAGCACGTCTGATTACTAACGTTAATTACAGTACGCGTTGCCTTCTATTTATAAAGAAAAATTATTTTCTTTTACCTTCAGGTGTACCGGTCGCTCACCCGGTGGCGATAGCAGTGCCACATCCGGTGGCGGTGGGCGTACCACAGCCATATCCGGTTCACGTACCGGTACCAAAGCCGGTCGCCATTCCAGTGGTGAAGACAATCGCGATACCGGTCGAGAAGAAGGTGCCGTACCCTGTGGAGAAGGTGATACCCGTTCCGGTAGAGAAACACGTGCCCATACCTGTGGAAAAGCACATACCTGTGCCGGTGGAAAAACCTTACCCCATTCACGTGCCGGTTTACAAACACGTGTTCCATCGGGTGAAGTCTTACGGCCACGGTTGGAGCCATTAACCGATTGCGTCAGGGCACCGCCAAAGGATGCACGCTTACAAGACACGCCTGCGAATGGAAACAGAATGCAATAAATTCATCGTGTGTGGCGTTATGCACGCATGAAGATTTTGATTCGCTTTCTTGAAAGCTCACGATACTAGAACGCTTCGTCTTTATTCGAATCGAAGAGATCGACGAAGCGTCGACACTTCATACAAAGATGAAAGAATGTCACTGATAGTTATTTATGTCTGTATGTTTGTTTGTTTTGTTACTTTGTTAGCGAATAAAATTGATCGAGTTATTTTTATTAAACCCGTTGCTTGTTTATCTACTCCCCTCTGAAAATTAATGCAGGTTGATCGATCACGTGGCTGTCGCTTTCTTAAAAAACCATCCATCACAACTGGTAGCGAGAGATAATTAATGATGATCGCAATGCGCGGAGAATTTCATTTGTTTTATTTCTTCAATTAAAGATGAAAGGATTACGATTACGGAGACTGCTCTCTTTTTAACAGACTTCGAAAAAGGAGGAGGTTACTCAATTCGATCAGTATATTTTTCTTATTTTAATTCCTTCGAGCGAGTACAAAGTTGAGGCACTTTCGATATAATTGTTCAGCAATTCGCGTGAGTTTCCGAGGAAATTGCCGGAGCGATTTGAGTCACGAATTCCCACGTATCTTGCCCCAGCCTTATAATTATTATAATTTTCTAGATAATAATGGACGGCCGGCGTAGTTTACACATAGTTGTTTTTTAGAGGCTTTCGTTATGCTCTCTCCACAAGGCAAACCGAGATTCGCGAGCATGACTCCTGTCTCAAATATACCTGCACGCGATCTTCGAATATCCAACTGTCGCGAGATTAGAACGTTTTCCCGCCCGGGCTTAATTACAGAAAGAGGAAGGAACTACTTCTGGAACGAACAAATGAACAAATATCGACAGAACGTTGAGGGATAGTTACAACTGTTAGGAAATAAGAAACACGCGCGAATGATTTGCAACAACGCGTGAAAGCGTGTATTTTAATTCTTATATATAAAATTTCTAGCAAGTTTCTAGCAAAGGTCCTTTCCTATGCTTTCAACCAATGAAACGATAGAATTTTCAATGCAAAGTCAAAGGATCAGAAATTCTGAACTTCACTGAACTTAATTCTGCAGGAATCGACAAAGGAACGTAATCACAATTACCTAACAAGCACTGCATCCAGTTTCCTCGTAGAAACGCTCACCGAGTCAATGACAGAAGGAGACTGTAAAGTTAATAAACTGACGTGGTATCAGGTTCAAGAAACTTCAAAGATCCACTATCCTCGAAGTAGCACCGAGATGATGGTGGGAGCGGCGGCAAATGGTAGATGAAAATTACGAGCATACGTGGGCAATCACCTAAGAAGAGAATAGTAAGCGTTCAATTCGTACGGTACAAGGGAGTTAGCAAGAGTGGCCAATGCCTAGGACGTGCTCGCCGGACCGATAGACGGGAAACAATTGTACCGGTCGGCTGCAATTCACTGGAGCCGGCCTTTGGACTAAACTACATCCCCGACAGTGAAAGGCTCGACGGTATATTAAGAGGAGCAATGAGCATAGATGTATCAGTCGCTCAAGAAACTTCTGTACAGTGAACACAGCTATATGCATAGAAACATGAATCAGATCGTGAGTAACAAATTCGGATATAATTTTTCTTTCCAACACTGGTTAAATTAGAAAATTTTAAGAAAACCATCGCGTTAAATCAAATTTCCTTCGAATCATGATGGTCAATTAGTCTTAAAATATCTGAATATTTTTATCTCGATTGCAATTACTCAAAAACACTAAACTACCACTTGGCAATCTTACTTTACTTAACGGCCACTTAATTAACACGATACACGGTACCTGCATTTTCAAGTTCACACTATTCCATTCACTGTGCATTCTCTTTCACGAACCTTACCTTCGACTTACGTAGGTGCTGCTTTCTCTGGTGTCCTTGGCCACGGCCGCGCCATTGATCGTGAAACAGGATCAAAACGACTATCAACAGTACCAGCTCCATGGTGGTTTCCAACCGATCGAAAGATCCGACCATGAGAGCCTCGGCTCATCTTCCGGGGGTGGAAGTTACGGTGGCGAGTACAGCAGCGGTGGCGGCTATGGCGGCGGCTATGGCGGCGGTTATGGCGGTGGTCACGGTGGCGGCGATTACGGTGGCGGAGAATACGGCGGTGGTTACGGCGGTGGTTACGGAGGCGGCGATTTCGGAGGCGGACACGGTGGAGGTCTCGAAGCATCTTCGGGACACTTGGAAGGTTCCAGTGACCACTTGAGCTCGGATTATTCTTCTTATGGCGGTGGTTACGAGGGCGGTGACGAGGGTGGAGTTTCCCTCGACGGCGGTCACCACAGTGTGGTGCAAAGTGTCCCTGTGTCGGAGCACGTCGAGGTGACGAAGCCTATACCCATCAAAGTGATCAAACACATCGGTAAGTTTAAAATTAAAACGTTTTTACGCGAATAATTCTGTCATCTATTAAAATTTTTCGCTTTCCAGGGGTACCAGTTCCTCATATCGTGAAGATTGCTGTACCCCATCCAGTGGCAGTCGGCGTTCCCCAGTCGTATCCAGTTGCGCATCCGGTACCAAAATTGGTACCAGTTCAAGTAGTGAAGACCGTCGCGGTCCCTGTGGAGAAGAAGGTTCCATTCCCCGTGGAGAAACATATTCCGGTGCCTGTCGAGAAGCCGATTCCCATCACGATCGAGAAACACGTGCCAGTGCCGGTCATCAAACCGTATCCCATCAAGATCCCCGTCTACAAAACCATCTACCACCACGCGAAAAAGCATTAGAACGTCGGGAATCATTAAACAACGATCTCGCAAAGACGTTCATTGCTTCTGCTCAAGGCTCGAATCAACGTCCATCGAACAACCCTGATGGAATCGATATGAATATCAAGGGAAAATGATTATTCGAGGGTGTCGCGACTGAGTTTATTGTTCTTTCTGTATATATGTTAAAAACTGTTACTATTATATGTTTGTTTTTCTACTTTTATAAATGTTACTGTTTTTGTTTTTCCAATAAAATGATTGAAAAATGAACGAATAAGTATTTTCCTAGTGAAAGTTGATCACCAGTAAAAGTTTCAGAAAATTCCTCCTCTCGATGCCGCCAGATAATTCCTCTACGGATTAATGTATCAAACAGGAAGTAGATATTCCGTATTAAAAACAAACTAATACAAGCAGTTTCGCTGTTGCAAAGCGTGATTTTGATGCAAATTGTATTTCCAACAAATATGACACGTTCGTTCGTGGAAATTCGATAAAAATTTAAATGAAAAAACTTTCCATGGAATATTGGAAGGATAATCAAATGATTTTCCTGTTGTTTCGAATAGACAGTAACGGTCGTCGCACCTGGTTGATGAATCCGTATTAAGCACGCTAGAGATCATAATCGAAACTTTCACTGTGGTATTTTCGATACATCAGCTGCAGATTCCATAGAAAGTGAATGCTTCGCGAGCGATCTAGTTCGACACTGGAGGAAATACGATTGTCACGATCAACCACCGTCAACGAGCCGTGAGGATGCAGGAAGTCGACGAAGATAATTACCGACGAGTAATCCTGCGTAACGTGGCTAATGATTAATAATAATTAACGAAATTGATTAAGCTTACGCTTTTGATTAATTATGTCGACTGCCTACGACACATTATAATTGCAATTATCTTAGATACGATCAAGTCTTGAAAGTTCCAAAAATAATTTAATAATAATAGCTGTGTTGCTATTTTTATAAATTTACCTCTTTTACATTTTCGTACATTCCTGTTACATTCACTTATCATTGCAAAATTTTCCTCGCAACTATTACCAGGAAATAGGAAGTACCACTACCCCTCATCATCTGTTCACCACAAAGTACTCTTGATATTACTGTAATTACATTCACTCACGAAATACCGAGTCCCGGTGTGAAAGAAGTGATAGAAAGGTGAACAATCGAGTCGACGTTTTAATGAGAACAGGAAAAGACGGGGAATTATGTAGGTTGCTCATCGCTGTTCTAAAGAAAGACGGAAATCCTGTGTTACATAATTGTTCTAAGGGAGAAACGTAACTTGCACGGTGAAGGTGCCGAATAGCATTTCTCGGAATAGTGGGGTTGCGTGTCTCTTAGCAGCTATATAAAGTGACTACCCAAAGAATTTGTCTCGAGTTGATATTTTATTCACGAAGCAACTCGTTGGTGGAGAATAAGAAAAACATGGAAAAGCTCGTACGTGTCGTTCAAACCATTTATATAAACAATTATGCCAGTGACCAATAATGAACTTTTTCAATCTTACTTTGTTTAAGATCGTGGTTCTGGCGATCATTGAGTTCTGCTGGGCCAGCGAACTAGGATGGGGAGGTCATGGACTGACTTTGGGGGAAATTGACGTGGGTCACGAAGGAGGAGGATTCAGTTTGGACGAATTAGGTCTGATTTAGCTGTCACTATTAAAACAGCGCTGTTTGAGATTTTCCGGTTTAACCAGTGTCCAGAGGATAAATATTTCGTCGTTTCATTAGCACTGCAGCTAGTTCTCAATGAAAATTTATCTAGCTGGTCGAAGACATAATTAAAGATTTTTTGAAATAAAGCTAGATGTGAAAAATTCTTTTCATATGGTTTTTTTTTATTGCATTAGGAGGATCAGAGCACGAGATTGGTCTGGGAGGTCACGGAGGAGGAGGAGGAGGAGGTCACTTTATACCCGTTGTTAAAGAAATTGGTACGTAAATTATTGTCAACTGAGATGTAGAATTTTACACCACGTGAAATTTAATTGCAATAGGGGTGCCGATACCGAAGAAGGTTCCATTCATTGTACCGAGCTTGCAAGTTCAATCCATTCCCCAAAGCTACCCAGTTCCGGTGGTTGTGCAGAAACCCGTTCCATACCCGGTAAATATTTAACATTAAAACTTAATTAGATAGTTCGCATAATAATATTCGTTTCTTTACAGGTGGAGAAACAGGTGTTCACCAAGGTGGAGAAAAAGGTACCCACCCCAGTCGAGAAAATCATCCCTGTGAAGGTCGAGAAGCATGTTCCCTTCACTGTGGTGAAACACGTTCCTGTACCTGTGCCGAAACCAATTCCCATCAAGATCCCAGTTTACAAGACGATCATACACAGACACAAGGGACACTAAAAGCAAATCAAGAGTTCAAATTGTTGATTATTCTGCCATTCATCGTTCCTGTAATATCTGTTGCTTGTTCCATCATTTTGTATTTTAAAGTTGCTTGTTAATAAATGACCTTATTCGAAGTACCATGGTATTTGTTAATTAAATCCATCGTCCTTAACAAAACTGCAAATTTGTTATCTAAATATATAAAACGATGTGTTACGTTAACGAAGAGTTACGATTATTGATCGCTGGTCCACGCGAAGAAAGGGAAAACGCATTGAATTCAGTGTGAAAAATCTGAACAAAGATTTCTCATTACAGTGACACGGTGTTACTTAACGAAGCGTTGCAACTATTGGTCACTGGCTAGCATGGCGTAGAGGAGAAAGGAGAATGTCGCGTACTTCGAGCGCACTGGTAGCGAAAGTAATCGGTGCGATTACTTTCCTCTGTCATTGACCTTCGTAAATTCGACTGCCAGAGCAGAAGGAATCCATTGAAAGGACGAACGTTCGAAGAGAATGTAAGCTGCGAGCAAATTCTCAACAGTGAAAAGATATAATATTAACTATCTGAAAAAAGAAGGTGTAGCTGATCGAGAGAAGGTGTGTTCCATTTACGAAGGGACTGTCTAACAGACACAGAATAACGATAAGGAAACTTCAATTTCGCTTTCACTCCCTGTTATTTTATTTTCATTTTTGAACGCGGAAGTAACACGATTCTATGGTTAAATATGTAACACTGACAAATTTATAACGAGAGGAAAAAACGTGTAGGCGAAAGTGAGACGCGAAGATGATCTCGGTAATTGCAGGGATGTAAAAGGAGGAAGAAGAATCGTGAAATCATAACACTGTGCAAAGGAAAGAGAAATTGCGCGGAAGGTTTCACGCAGCGGGTTCCTTCTTTGAATCTCATCAATATGCAACGGTTAAACACTTTTTCGTGAACGTTCGCGGAGAAATCTGAGTGGGATCCGTCAGACTGGGCGACGATCGCACTTCATGCTAGAAAAAGTAGAGAAACGATGCAAAAAGTGGTCAGAAAGAAAGTTTAACGACGGCAGACTGTTTCGAGCCTCAACCAATTGCGAACGATAATCACCTGTTCGAAATGAAATAAAAGCAATATTAATGGAAGGAAAACTGCTCTCATCAATGATCTTAATCACTTTCGATTTCTGTTCAGATAATTCTTGATCAAATTATCCGGAAAGAGGCTCAAGGACTCTTAACGATTACTTTTCAATTGCTTCTTTACGATAATGAGAGTAATTGAATACTGAAAGAAAGTAAAATTCAAATCATGCCTCGAGGCATTTCAAAAGCAGAACAATTCCCGTCTGAAATTGAACGTTAAAATATTTTCTCCGGTTCCTCGACGATCAAAGGGAGGCACGATCGATCTCGAACGCTAAACGATGGCTCCCCAGGAACAACGATATCATTGTAAAAACTGTTTGAGCGAGTAACGTTAATGGCGTTGCTTGTTCGCCCGTGGGAAATAACCAAACGTTCCTCTCGAGGTACCCGTTGCTATCGATAGAAACGAGCTCCTGGAGGAGGAAGAACAATAGGAAAAACGCGACAGAAGGTAAAAGCCTTCTACTTCGAAAGGTGAACGCACGGAAGGGATCAAGATACATTTCTTCAGACCCTTGAAAACCTTGCAAATTTCTCCAATTGATTAATATGAGAATAATAATTGATTTTCCTTTCGTTCCAGGTCAATGATTGCAATTTGCTCCAATTTTTCTGCAATTTAAACAAAAAAGAAAGGCGACCATGGGTGTCCTCGAATCGCTATTGAACTTTGAACGCCTTCAAGTTTCTAACTCGTCACGTTCGACTCGTTTCGGTGTCTTTAGCGACTTGTTCCTTCGAAGCCGACAAGCATCGCGTGCCAATAAACGAGGATGAATTAAAACGGTACCTCGAGTCGTGACAAATGGGCAAATGAATCGAGTTGTTCTTAGCTCGATCGTATTCCTTTCGAGGAAGATTGATCGGCCATTAAGAAATCAATTTTTCTTCGAGCTCGTTTTCGAACAATTTCGAATAATAAGACAGGACCCGTTTAATGCGAAAGTTGGTTGCACGTTTAGGAAGACGAATATTCGCTCAGAGAAATTCGCGGTCTTTGGAAACCGTACCAAAATCGCAGATGAACTTTCTACCGTGAAATGGGTAGACCGACTCTCATCCAAAGCTATTACCATATTACACATTATCTGTACCCACGCTTGCATTAAATTCATACCGTAGTTGCATTTAATTTCTCCCTCTGCTATGTCACTGTCGCCCCTAGGCATCAGGGATTAATATACGCGTTAGCAAACAAACCACATTGCATTCTGATGTTATCTCGACGACTAGATAGCGTCACGTAATTAAAATTCAAACCAAGATGAGAAACGCGTAGGAGAAACATCGTCCAGGATACAATTCGTTGTTAATACAGATCGTGAACGAAAAAGCACGATAACCGGCAAGTAGATTGTGTCAGACACTTCCTACTCTCGCCGTTCGATCATTCTGCTGTTCACTTATCAAACTAGAAACATGCTTTTACAGGAACAAAGATCTCCGGGTTCGATCAGTTTTTCATAAAACTTCTTTTTCTCAAATACGAAAGGACTTTCATTTCGTTGCTCCCGAAACTCGGAATCTTTCTACGCCTCAGAGCGTTTTTCGCCTTCACTTCCGGTAGACGTGAGATTTGCCCATCGGCGACCACAATCACATACCGTGCGAGAAAGAAACCGAAACGATGACCGTTTCTTCGAACAACTTAACACGAGCCTTGAGCTCCTTCAGAAAGATAATTATAATTTATGCACATATTTAATTCTCGATGGTCATCTTCTCCACTGTTTTGAATATTCCGTTCTAGAATCGACCACTCGGAGTGGAATCGAATCGTCTGTAGAAATTTTCGCAACCGCAGCTCCATGTTTGTTTCCGGCAAATGGAGCTGTTGTAGATTTGCGGTCGCTTCTTAAAGCGCTTTTGATCTTCCGCTTTGTCGGTCACTTTGAGTGATCCTGGGTGAAATTAATTATTAATCATTAATATTTTTGGTAATCCATTTTGTCTCATTTCTTATTAGATCTTCGTAAGTGAAATTTGACTTTCCTTTTCTGGAGCACACAGCGTGTAATAAAACAGTGTTTTTAAAGAGACGAGTTGGGCATACTTTCATTCAAACCGAACACGATCTACATGGAAAGAACGTGTTATCCCAAACAACGAGACATTTCCCGTGTCCGCGAGCACGCGTAACCTCGGCTTCCGGTACACCATAGACGGCGAACGGTTCAATGTACCGCGTGAAAAATGAAACGAGATCCTTTCATATTCATCGACCGTGTATATAGTTCGTACAAAGGTTGTTCGGTGGTGTGACGATGTTTGATATATCCTGGAAAGGGTCGGGACTCTAGCGCAAAGAAACAGTGAAAGGTGGTGGAATCGATGTTAGTATATAAGCTCGGTGTTCCAGTGCCACAGACACTCAACGCTCGATTCTTGTCCTTGCACAATTAAACACCCCCGCCCGGAAGATCTGCAACAATGAATCAAATCGTAAGGAGTATTTTGAAAAATCGGATGATAGTGCGACAGTGAGATATCGTGAAATTTATGGTTTACGGGATACGTCTGAAACTAGGTTTAAAGATCACACCGCATTCATTTGTTTCGAAGTTGAAATTCAAATTACCACGTGACATTTGAAAATAAAGCGTTACCTATGATCGATAATAAAATGTTTTCAGATTCTTTTGATCGGTATCGCGGTGTTCGCTGGAACGGTATCGGCGAGCCATTACGACGAAGACCACGGCAGCAGCACCTACGAGGAAAAATCGAAGCCAGTGGAAATTCCAATTTATAAAAAATATGGTAAATATTTCGCTATTAAATTTTATCAATTTTCCAAAATATATTAATTAATATTCTTTCATATTTTTTTCAGCGATCCCGATTCCTCACCCAGTGCCAGTCGAAGTTCCTCAGAAGATAGAAATCCCGATTCCTCAGCCTCAACAAGTCCCCATCGAAATTCCTCATCCCTATCCTGTTGAGGTGGTCAAGCACGTCGAAATCCCCGTTGAAAAACCGGAACCCGTCATTGTTGAGAAGCATGTAAGTAATTAATATTTTTGGAAATATTTAATATCCAATAAATAGGAACTATGATAACTCTTGATATTTTTATCCAGGTACCTTTCGTGGTAGAAAAGCCATATCCGGTGTACGTGGAGAAGAAGTTCCCTATTCCAGTGGCCAAGCCGTATCCGGTTCATGTACCGATCTACAAGCACGTCTTCCATTACTCTTCGAAGGGCAAGGGATGGCATTAAGCTGGCTCGCTCGTTGAACACATGGGAATCGTTCTTCTCGCCTGGAAAACAAACATTCATCGTTACGATGATTTTTTCATACTTCTTGAAAGACACACGAGATTCTCGTCCAAACGTCCTGGTTGACGCAAACGCTGCCAATGTCTTTGTTATAGATTTTATACACTTGTTAAGTTTTCCTTTTCTACTCGAACCTCAACGTTTTTGTTAATAAACGATACTTAAAAACTACTGTGTTTCTCTGGATCGTTACACGTCACGATTGGGATGATAAAAATTCTAAAAAGATATTGTTAGGCATTCAAAGATGAATCCTTTTGACCCTTCCCAAAGGATTTTCCTATATCTGAGTTACTTCGGACGCGAGATCATTACCTGACAAAAGAACATTTTCACGTCATCTTTTATCCTTTCTCTTTTCGTTTCCTGCAATCGTAAGAAGAAACGTTCTTCCCGTTTCATCAACGAACAGAGGAAGGAAACGCGTAATCGTGCGTTCCATTTCCTGTCGTCCGGTGTAACAAATCGGCCAGAAGCGGACTAGTCGCCGACAGGAATTCTGCGCGATCTTGATTCGCCATAACGAGCCCAGCAGCAAACACGTTCCTATATCGCCAGGCGAGACCACTTTTACTCGAGAGATACACTTTCACTGTTCCGCTCGTTGGTACAGAGAGTAGTCTCGTGTACGATTCGAATCTTCCGAGCTCAGACTTCTCTTTCTTTAACGACCACACCCCTCGATATTTTTCCTCCACGACACTCTATATCGGAGTCAAACATTTTTCCTTCCTCCGCTTGCGTTCCGCTACGACCGTAGGAGTAACACGCTCGTGGAAGATACAAGAAACTCTCTAAAGCATAGACTCTCTCTCTTGAAAACGAGAGAGGAAGTACAGGAATATCCGTTCGAAAGTTCTATTCACGTACGATCAGATGATCGATGGAAATTCAACACTCTGTTATAATTACCGTTCCATCGAGTATCGATTTTCTTTCGATTCGTCCATCATCGACGCGTATCGCTTAACACCCCTTTGTGCGAAAGTTAGCTACGGAACCGAAGGATCTATAGAATCGCGTGTTAACGGGATAGACACGGCTGAACTTGTGTTCAAAGCCTGGCTGACAGTAGTTTACAAATTGTTAGGTATGCGAATTAGACCACGACCACGTTTGCTTCGCTCCACCGAGCTCATTCTCGATGATCTACGCGGTAGAGACTGCGTCGCACGTTGTTCCATGGCTTGACGAAAATGTGCATGTAACGTGACAACGTGTAAACAGGGTGGTCGGATTAAAAGTACAATTACTCAATCGTTCGGTAATTGAACCGAGAGGAATAACTTCCTTTCCCCGCGATCGCCACGGTGTGTATCATTCCTTCTATATGGTGAGAATCGAAAGCGTTCTACTGTATTTGGTACTCGTGGGATCGGTGCAGGCAGGTTTCTAAAATATTTCTCGCTCGTTCGCGTAATTACGGAAGTCGAGGCTATAAAATATTTTCAAAAACGCCCTACCTACTCCGAAGCGGAAATATATATTTTACAATTAATCGTGCACAAATATAAAATTACGAGGTTGAACAATCACCTGGGGGCTAAAAAATATTATGGTACTCTGTCCCTTATACAGTAAATAATTTCGACGAACGGGTTAATTAGATAAATAGGGATGTAGAAATAAATGGTACTAACTCCCTTATATAGTAAATAATTTAAGGGATGCAGTTAATTAGATAAATATCATTAAAAAAATGTGAGAGATTGGAAGGTGTCTGGATGCCAGGAAGAGCACCCATCCATAGGTGAAATATATCTACGAGAATAATCGTAAAACGATCATGCACGCGCACAGGTATAAACACGACTAGTAGAAAGAGTAAATGTAACGAAGAGAAGGGAGAAAGTGACGTTGGTATATAAACACTTGGCCGTGACTTTGAAAGCATCAAAGAGATTGTGGCCAGTTAACACTACGGATTGCGTGCACAGTGCAGAAGCCATGAGGATTTTCGTAAGTTTTTCTCCATCAACCACTTCCGATTAATTATCGATTCCTTTTACTATAAACCGTGATCATTTTCCATGGTAGATACTTACCGCTCTGGTGACCATGGTGTGCGCCTCCTACGAAGAGGACCACGGTGGATCCACTTATCACGAGACCTCGAAACCGGTGGAGATTCCAATTTACAAAAAATACGCCATACCAATTCCGCACCCTGTTCCAGTGCCGGTACCGCAGCACATTAAGGTACCAATTCCGCAGCCGTATCAGGTCGAGGTACCAGTTCCACATCCAGTGCCTGTGGAGGTAGTGAAACACGTTGAAATTCCAGTGGAGAAGCCTGAACCGTACGTGGTAGAGAAAAAGGTATCTACACGATTAAATTAATTTTTCAAATTTAAACAAAACCCGATATATTATTTTTAAAATATTAATGTATAGGTACCATACGTTGTCGAGAAGCCCTATCCAGTGACGGTGGAGAAACATTTCGCGGTTCCCATTCCAAAACCATACCCAGTCCACGTACCTGTCTACAAGCACGTGTTCCATCACCAAAGCAAAGGACACGGCTGGAAGCACTGATCCTGGATGTCGTCGACGTATCAAACTCGAGTCCTTCTACCAAATACGCAGCCAAAATGAAATTAATCGTTTATTGGCATTATCACGCTTGTACATAGTCCAATGTTGTTATTGTTGCTCAAATAAACTGTTTTTGTTTTTGTAACAATTGCCGATTGAATTTCTTTCCCTTATGGTGGTTGTCTCGAATAGTCGAGATGTTTAGACGGTTTTGAAAGCCGTGGGTTTCTTTCAATGGCTCGGAACCAGTCGCTTTTTCTTCGAACCACTGGATTTCTTAATTAGGTCAACTTCACCAGATTGGATCCCGTCGATCCGCATGCTTCGACTGTTTTCTCCATCTAATTGCCGCCCAACACCGTGATAAAACAATTACCTCGCCACCTGGAGAAAACAAGAATGTCAGCCGTACAGAAATAATGAATGACTTTTACTATTTTTCATTTTTCAATAAAATATACAGAAAATTTCTTATCGCGTTAAATAGAGATTGCAAAATATATCTTGTTTCAAAGTTAAAAATTTAAAGTCGAAACATTAATCGTAAGTTTAGTAAGATATTAAAGAACCTATAATCAGATATTCGGAAAGTCTAAGTATTTATCTAAAAACGGTTCGCTACTTTTTATTCTTAGCGTACGATTAATCAACCCCCGTAGAAACGGCGGGAGTGGCCGCAGAGGAGATATAAATTAGATAAAACGGTAGTAAATATTTCAAAGCTGGCGAACCTTTTTCTCCGTTTTTCACTGGAGGTTACCGGAGGCTGCACCTGAAGCGATCGGGCGCGTTACGAGGTTTGCCCCGCGGTTCTGTCGGTCCAGAAACCGGCCAATGACTGGCGATCGTGTTGTTAATGACAAACGCGAGTCTAACGATCGCCGCGTAATGCCCGAGGTGGAGAATTTATTCAGGAAATACCGTGGCGCGATCGGTTGCGTCACACTCCTGACCGACGACCGCTTTTTACTCCTCATAAGGGAATCACATTCGACTTCGGCCCGCAAGAAACCTGCCCCGTTTAAGTGGAGCAAAAGTTTATAAAACCGACGGCCACGCACGACGCGCCTCTAGTTTCGCCAGGGACATTAGATTCAGAAGTTATCCGACAGAAGCCGAAATCATGTTCAGGTTACTGGTAAGTGAAATAAAATGTAAGTCGTCGAATGATTATTTCTTAAAATCGTCAACAATTTGTTTTTTTTCTAATCCCTAGATACCGTGCCTGATATGGCTGTCAAGCGTTCGTTCCGAGACCGCGATGAACATGCACATGCCGGACGGCATGATGGAAGAAAAATCACCGATGGAGGCCTGGATGAAACCGAAGAGGGAGTCCTATCATAACCCATGCCCTCCGGTTTACTCGCACCCGATCTCCTATTCGCCACCGCCCCAAATTTATTTGAAACCGGCGATTCAGTACATCCCCAAACCGATGATCACGTACGTGAAGCCAGCTCCGCCTCCGGTCATCCTGAAGCCGACGCCAGCACCGGTGATCGTGAAACCAGTGGTCCAACCCAAAGTAGTTTATCCAATTTATCAGAAGCCGATGATATCGTACGCTCCCATCTACCACAAGCCAATGTATTACGCGCCCATCGTTCAAAAAGTGATGTACGAGTCTCCTAAGGTGTACCTGAAGAAGTACGACTTGCCGCCTGTCGTCCATAAACCCCAAATTTCCTACCCAGTTCAATATCAACATCCGAAAGTGGTGCACGTGCAACCGCAGTATAATTACGTAAAAGTAGCTCAACCCGTCGTTCATCCCCAGCCAATTTATCACTCGGCCATAAAACCGTGGTGTCCGTAAAACGAATCGATAGGCTGACGTCAGCGTCGATCGATGCTTTTCAGAATGTTCCGAGGAAACAGAAAGGTGGCACGAGCGCATTCGCGAAATCCATCGATTCGCGATTGCCTTAACTCGTCACAGTAATCGAGCGTAATTTAGCAAAGTTTCCATGTCACAGATTGTACAATAAAAAACGAAGGAAGTATCAATTTGACTGTTCGGTGTACTCGCCCTATTCATCCTCCTCGACTTTCCCTCTCGCCGCGGTTTTCGTAATCGTCGAGCCTGCTTCATCTTCGACATCGGGAAAGGTAAAGCTGTTAGCAGGACGACGATGGGAATGAAACTCGTTAAAAGCTTTGAAAAGGAACACTTTGGAAACGAAAAGTTTCGATAGCTCGCTAATTTTCCTCAAACTTTCCCTGAAGCTTTTCATCCGACGGAACAATCAGACTAGCGGCAGTCTCATAACAGACCGACATCCTTTCTACAACAAGAGATTACCGAGGCTGCGGTCATCTCCCGTCCTGAGATTGCCTTTTCTCGACCTCTTAATCCTTCAGTCTATGCAAACTCATTTCCTCCCCAAACTTTTCTCCATTGTTCCTGAAAATTGAATCGCATTATCGCCGCTTCTAAGCTCGAATATTTCGCCAGATTTTCTTTTCTAATTAGATTCTTGTGTAGGGAACGTTTTGCACGCTAAGCTATTAATTTAAACGGTTTACAGGAAACTTGTTCTCCAAAATGTACATTCTATCGTGAGTCACGATAGATCCACGACAAGTTCCGACATATTTTCTCCTTTTATCAGCCAGCTAAATTGCGTCAGATCGCTTGCCAGCTCTATGTAAGGAATTAATTACGATCCGGTCGCAGAAGGCTTTCCAACCGATTCCCGATTATTTCAAGGAACGGTCGTTTCGTCACTGTCTCGCAACACGATGTTGCGCAAACCGCGGCAATGAAACGAATCGTCTTGCAATTTTGCAATCATCGAGAACACAGGGGTGTAATCTTCCGATTGTCTTGCATGTCCGGATTTTGCGATGGTATTTCGACATTTTTCAGGAGTATAAAAGCGAATGCACGCAGGAATATAGTTTGATAATAAACCTTGTAAGAACTTGGAACTTGCTTTCAGCCTTCGTTATGAGATACTTCGTGAGTTTTCTTCTATTTCAGTGTTACGAATTTATATACAAGAATCTTACGAATACTGGGAACGTGGTTTTAGTTGCTCTTTATGGTCGCCGTTGTCTGCGAAGGGACAAGGATACCCAGGATATCGGAGTCCTTCTTCCCGGGATTTCAAGGCGCTCATCATGGACACGGTGGCCATAGATATCAGCACGGACAACTGGATAACTATGGGCCTGTACAATTTCCTGGAGATCACAGGGCACCCTATGGAAACTTGGATATAGGAAACGAGTTTTACGGTCATCAGGGTGCCATCGGCGGTCACGCGAACGTTGCCGACCATTTTGCAGGAGGTAACGTTCAATTAACGCGTTAAGTGTCCGAATTAGAAAAGTAGAAAATCAATTAAAAAAATTAAAAAAATTAATCACGACGTGTTCAGTAATTTATATTACCTACTGTGTGCTTTCCCAGTGAAACTGTTGCTAGAAAGTTAATTATCGTCGCGATGGCGTTAAAATCACTGATCATCAACGTGATTAACATCGGATCTTTCTTTCTTCAGGTCCGTTCAACGTTGCTGGCAACCACGGAGGCTTCAATCCACATCAGGCTCTTCCTCGGAACTACGAACGCTACAACCATGCACACGATTACGATTATTAATTATAGAAATCTCATTAAGCTTTAATGAGCTCGGGTGCATATATTCAGCTTCCCTCAACGCCGCTTGCAGCAACAGTTGCATCAATTCGAAGAAACGACGATCGGTCGAGCTAGCAATTTCTTTATTTCTCCTTACTCCTTTATATTCAATATAGATAATATGTATGTAATATAGATTAATATAATAATTTTGTGTAAATATAACATTATTAGAATGAAAACAACGACGTGGTGACAATTAATGCTAGGCTCTCCATTTTCCTCGGTCCTTGTCCTTCTTATGTAAAACGCAATCATTGCCTCTCGGCGATACTACTTTTGGACCATTCTCGCGATAGTACTCGATTTAAAGAGGAAGGAAGAAAACGGTTTGGGAACGAGTACCCGCTCGATCATGCGTTGAAAGTAATTCGACAAGCTGAGACACAATCACAGATACGCGATCTATTGACTCTTTCCGATCATAGAAGCATCGTTTTCTTGTTAATCGTAGCGGAGGAATCGTTACGGTGACGGTAAATTCCATTTGGCGTTAGGCATGAAACACAGGCTCGCATCTCGCTCACGCACGCAGAACGATAGAATTCGGTAATAGCGTTAACGATCGAAAAATATTGTAATCGATGAATCACGCGGCACGCTTCATCCGCGAGATTCATACTTCTCATTTACCTATACACGTTTTATCCTAGGATCCTTCCGAGCTAACTTCGTCGACATCGGTGGAAATAAGAAAACAAACGTTGCACGAAACTTCGCAGACTTGGTACGGACAGAAATAAGACTAACTTTTATGATTTTTTTTATAAACTTTCATTGAATTCATACCTTTTTAATGAATCATCAAACGAGGTATATTTATGCAACAATTTCTGTTTCTTAATTATGTTCGTAGAACATGACGACGAAGTTTGATCGGATAATCCTAGGAAACCGTGCCTGTGTATATATATGTATATATCCATACACATACATAATTATAATAAATGTATGTACGTGTATATATACGCTTATCAATGTAAGAGTTTGACTAGATCACTTTAGTTTTTTATTGACTCCCTTATATTTAGTCTAGGTACTTGCTCGTGCGACGACGGACAGTATGGAGTTATAAGACGCTTCTTTTATAAAAAAATATCCAGGAGAATGAACTAGAATACACGAGTAAACGCGGTTTTCTCAGTTGCTTCCGGTTCTCTGGTTGCCGACACGCGCGGACGTGCCGGCAGTTTCGAGAACGATAGCTAACGAGGCTTGATCCCAATTCCAATTGTAATTAACGATAGTAGTGGATTCTGTGAATGCAGCACCTCAGTTCTTCCGGGGAAACTTTCACGGTCACGGGAAGGGGCGAACGCGATCGCTTCCTGTCGGCCATCACACGTAGAACTCGGTTTTAGGACCCAATTCGTACTCCATCTCCTCGTTTTTGTACATATCCATTATCTGAAACAGAAATCGTCTCGTCTGTTGTAAAATCACTGTTTACCGTAATATTTGAAAAGAAAAAGGCGCTTCGTTTACCGCGTTCATGTCTTTTTGCAATTCCTCCAGTTGCTTCTCGTGAATCACCTTCAGCTTCTCTTTCTCTCTATTTTGAATCAGTTGCGCGATTCTCCTCTCTTCCATAAATTTCTTCGTGTTATTCTGCTGCTTCTCCCTCAATCTACCCTCTTTGATCCCTCTAGTCTTCAGCGTTTTATCGTTCATCACCTCCCTCATGCTCTCCACCGACAGTCTCGCTTGCCTTGCATTCATCTCTTTGATTTCCCGCTCGTGCCGCGCCGTCAGCTGTTTCTGCTGAGCCACCTGTGCGGCCACGCACAACTTCCGCAGCGTGTTCCTTCGTTCCTCCAGGTGAGAACGCATCAAATCCCGCTCCTCCCGTCGCTGCCTGTCCGCTAACCGTGACCACTGAACGGTCTGTTCGGAAACCGCACGACGAACGGTTGGATCCCTCGACAGTTCCGCTTTGCTGTTTCGAAAACAAAGAGAATTGATTTTCGACGATATGAAAAGAAGAGAAGTTAAATCCTTCCGTACTTTTTCCCTTTGATAATCTTCTCAATGGCAACGCAGTGTTGTTTCTGGACGGTAAGTTTCTCTTTCTGATGCCTCTTCTTCAGAGACTCCAATTCCTTTTGCTGCTTCCTTAGCACCTTTTGAAATCCCTTCTCCTGACGCAACGATTCCACCGTTATGGGATCGAATTTCATCTCCTCTGCGAGGAAAATAGAAATATTTGTTAAAAATTATTCTCGAGTTCTTTTTGTTTTCCTATTTACCACGCGGTTTGGCCACTTCGCGATGAGCAGACATAGAATCAGAGTTCCCTTTGCTGTCGCTTTCTTCGATACCGAGCCCGCGCATTTTATTCTGCGCTGTGTTCTCCGGCTTCTTGTAGGCCCGTGGTGCTGTGAGCGCGTCCATAAGTCCTGTGAACCGAGTTCGAAATAAAATTACCTTATCCACCCTTTCGTGTGGACAAAAGGAATACCGACCTTCGTAGCCATCCGGCACGTAGATCTTGATCTCGATATTGCAAAACAGCATGGGAAGGGACATGGGAAAGTTCGCCTCGGTACGCAGAGATATATGGCGATAGCCCGATTGCAGGCCATCCAAAGGGACGATCCTCTGACCTAACAGTTTACCATTCGACTCGTCGTAAACCGCGAATCTCAACGCTGCCAAATCCGGCAGAACGACTTTTCGAAAGAGGAAGGGTTCTTCATTGTACACGGGGTTCAGGCCGTTCGCTGGAACTACTCTCGTTCGAAATTCCTTGCGAATAGTGTCGGTAGGCAGACCGTACATCTCCACCTCCACGTACGTCCCGACTTTCTTATCCGATAGAAATTGCCCCGCAATTACCTGATGGTAATAAATATTAACGTGTAACCAAGTGTTAATAATAACACTTCGGTGTGACGTTTATTAAATACCTGAACGCTGCACTGAGTCGCGATTACCCCGTCCACAGGGCTCTCGGCAAAGGGATCGAAGCTTCTGTCCGCCCTTCGCATGAAATCCGGCTTCAAAAGGTATCCAGAGGAGCCATTGTACTCGAATTTTCCTTGGTTCAGTTGCATCGGTAAATCCGCCGTTTGGAAATTTAACGAAACCATCTGACAGCCGGCGTTCCAGAAGACCTGTTTCCGATCGATCGATCAGCGGACGCGTTCTTTTGATCGCTCGAATCGGTTTTGAACGCGGTGAAAATTACCTGTGGCATGTAATTCGATGAATCCGCCCGAGTACCCTTCGGATAGATCCTGCTCATTTGCCGCTTGTTATAATTTACGAACTCGATGGCTTGCGTCTTCAGGCAATTCAGGCCGGCGGTTTCCGCAAAGGAAGACATATTGTGATGAATATTTTTCTCTGTACAAATAAATAGAAACTTCTCGCGTATTCCTACAAGACACCTTTAAAAGAAGTTTAATTTTATCTTACGTTCGGCGACGTCGAAGCCAGGGAATTTAATTGGCTGAGCATAGTTGACCATGGAAGACAACCATGGGTGCACGTTCGTAGTGCTTCCGGTGTACGGTTGAACCACCGCCAATTCTAAAGTATCTCCTAAACCAGCGCTGGAACCAGATTGCTGTTGAGTAACCGTGGTCGAAGATGCGACAGACTCGGTCGTCGAAACCTCTTCCTACACCAGATACCATTAAGCAAATCATTTATTTCGATTTTAAAAAAAGAATGAAGGATTTCACGCAGGTGCTCGTAACGAGGGTTACCTTTACCGATTGTTGTTCAACGACTGCTGCTACAACGGGAGGCGCACTCGCATCTTCCTTCACTTCGTCTTCAATAACGAATTGACCTTGCCTAAATAATTCCAATTCTTGTTTCTCCACTTCGGGCTTCAGGCGTTTGTTTTTTATAAGAATTTTACGCTTCAGCATACTGGGTGGCGGTAACGGCACCCCTGGCTCCAGCTATTTTATCAGAACACAAGATCGGTATTTATTAATGTATTTTTTTTAGACCAATATCGGCTCCTACACTCGAACCATTTATCTTGATTTTCGAAAACTTCAGACGATAATATGGCAAGGTACTTTTGCTTAATTTATCGATGATAATCTTAAGAAGATTTCGATTGACGCATTTGTCTGGTTATCAGATTCCATGACTGGTCAAAACACGTTAATTAAATTACACGATCGATAAAAGAAAACTCACAGGGTACTCCTTGAGTGGCTCTTTCAGCAACAGGTCGCCGAGAATTTCGTCGCAATACTTTGCCAATTTGTACTGCTGTTTCTTGCTGCAGTGGTTCTCGAAGCTGAGGATCACCGGGTAATCCGACGTAACGAATGCCGTGTCTCTCACTGCGTATATCACATCCTTGAACAGGATGTCGGTGCACATTGCTTTTCCGTGCGTAATTATCGGCTCCTCGTCCTCGCCTTTTCCGTCCCAGCAATCCAGCTCGACGCATCTTTAAATCGAACCAACGAAATTTCGCCTTTCGATCCTTCCATAAAATATGGTTTTGTTAGGTTTACCTGCAGCCGGCGAGCAAAACTTGTCTGTACATCTCAACGCTGCTCTTTCCACCGAACTGACGGCCGCTCAAATACGTATTATGACTCGAATTAATATAATAATGAGCCAACGGTTGGTCCATGTCCATGTAGACGTCTAGTCTGTCCAAGAAAACCGGCGCGTTTTCGTCGGACATCAGGTACCTTATAAAACCATCCTTTGTCATCGTTTCTGAAAGGATGCGATTGCTTCTGAAAGGATGCCGTTCCGAAGGTACAAGCTAATTCAATCGCTTAGGCGATTCATGGTGCAGGTGTAACACGTTGATTGATCAGGAATTGAAATTCTTAATAATCGTTATTGAAATGGAATGAAGCAAAGTCGAGCGACTCGTTGTTGCCAAATAACCAACAAAATTCCTATATATTAAAATAATTAATTATCCGTAGCATAGAATAAAATTTTTTAAACATTTCTTATTAGTTATTCGCAATATCGTTTCACTCGAGGACCTAAAAAGCAACACAGACAAACATCCAATGAAAATCTTACTTTGATTTCGTGCTGTCTCATTTTGCTCGTAATCTTTTATGATTTCCAATGCTCTTTTCTCGTCGTACAACGGATATAGGATCTCGTTCAATGTTGGATCGCGTTGTTTCTCATTCAGGAACATGACCAGTTGATCGAGATTGATTGTGTTCGCCTTACCCTGGGTGCTGGAACGTTCAGAGCAAACAAACGTTCCTTTCCACGTTTATTGAGGAATCGATCGCGATTAGCGTTCCTTAGACCGATGCTTCTTATACTCACATGGATTGGAACAGTTCTTCTATGTCGTTTCTTGGACAGATTTTATGATAGAGCGCGTAGAACGCGTCGAAAGTGAAGTCGTCTGGCTCGATCACGTCGTTCTACAATTTTATAATTAAAATTTCAGTTATATCTTATAATGAATTTTAATTTTTTAAATTTTCATCATCGAGTACCTTTCCGCTAGGTAGGCCTAAGTCGGCGAGGCACTGATAGACGAGCTTCTCCGTTTTCCCGGACGCGAAAGTTCTCGCGACCACTTTCACCGGAACTTTTCCATTCGGATCGACCAGCATTCTGAGCCGCATCCAACTGGAACACGCCGACCAACCTTTATCTTTCAGTCGCAAAAAGATAACTTTCGTGTATAGTTTACCGTCCGCGTAGCAAAAACACGATACTTATTTTCCATGGAGGAAAAGAAATAGAGGAAAAAAGAAAAGAAGAATATCTTGTTTGCTTTCACTTGTGAAACGCGAGTCTCGTTTACGAATGTTTTCGTGAAAATCGAAGGAGCAGAACTGGAAAAGGACGTCTCCGTTTTAATTATTTCACGATGATTCGCGTAAACGTAAGTCGCGGTTACGAGTAACAGCGTAGGTGTGTTTCGTGCGTGTATTTGTGGGTGTAATTGAATTACTAAACTCACTGTTTCTTCAAGCACGTAAGTGGGCAAACGTTGTTGGCTTTCACGTTGTGCGTAATCGATCGTACGCCATCCAGCCATACCTGTCATGGGGCATAGCAAACACGTGGACTTATTGATTATTGGTAATAATTGACGATCGATAGATCGATAGAAAAAAATATAAGCTCGTTGTTTCTGATCGGACGAATGCAAAAACGAAAGGAATGGTAATCGATAATTATAAGAGGCTCGTTTAATTTATTCATTTTTCGGAGGATCAAGCAAAGGGGATTACGTGAAGAGCAAATTTACCTTAGCCGTTACTGGGTCCGGGCAAACGACGTGCTGGTAATTAATATTGGTGTAATCTACACCCGAACAGATGGTTAAACTTTTCTCGTCTAATTGCTCGCCGTGCTTCGTCAGCAGCTTGTCGTACAGCTTCGGGTCCTGGATTAAATTACAGAACGGTTTTATCAAAATTCCCCTCTCGTTTGCGAAATTATTCAATACGCCACCGTGGCAAGGGTAATTTTCTTAATTTTCGTCATTAACATTTCAATGTCCAAGTGTAAATTACTTGCCTTTAAGCGATCAATTTACAACCTGAGTGAAAGGGTGAAGTTTCGAAGCACTTACGGTCTACCAACTAGTTTCAAAGTTCTGTATTGAATATTTCATCGAAAAGTGCGACAGGTTCAACGAGGTTCATTGTGCCTAGACTTCTGATATGCAGAAGGTTTTCTTACCTTTGGTAATCCACCGGCGCGAATGTCGCTCACTTGACACAGCTCAATGACGTCCCCGTCCTATAGGACGAACAAAAGATAAAGAAAAAAGGAAGAAAAAGAAAAGGTAATAAAATAATCCACACCATTGTCCTCGATAGGACAAGTAACGTACGAGATATCGTCTTTCTTCGAAAGAACAAAAGCAGAGGCAAAGACAAAAGGGAGACACTCACTTTTCCTTCGCTTTGCCAGTAGATGAAGAAACCATACTCATCGACCTTGAACATGCAATTTAGTTCGAGGTCCGTGTTGTCCTTTTCCTCTGACCAACGATCGAACATGCATCCTTGACGCAGCGGTAGCGGTACCTCGATCTGCCAATTGAACTCGAACCTTTTCGTCATCTTCACGATTTCTTTTTCACCTGTTTCTCCGTGTCGAGCAGCGTACACGTCGTGCGTCGTCGGGTTCCTGTCAATTTTGTGTTCAAGGCTTTCGATAAACGCTGCCTAAACATCGCGTCCGTGACACGAATCTTCGCTTTTCATATTACGTTTTCAAATTTGCCTGGCCGATTACGTGAGTAGCATGAAACGTTCGGCTTCGTTTGTTTACAAGTTTCTGGGTGAATATCTAACGATACCTTTCGCAATCGTACATCGTCCAGGAAAAATAACATTTCTACGTCGATAACTTTCACGTCTCCATAAATCCTCGGGAATTTAATGAAATAATTAATTGCAGGGTGTCATTACCGATTCCAGGTTCGTTAACCAAGATTTACTCGGTTACCGATGTCCCACGTTTATTCGAAACGAGCACCATTACACGTCGAACACTAATCGATACTCGGTTCGATTAACTCGAGCGTAGACCGTCCTTTAATCGTATTCTCTCAACCTCAATTGAGTATTAACCTCCGAGAGAACGAAGTACATGACCTCTTTCACCTGCATCGGAATCCAATTAAACGTTAATCTCGTTAAACTGTAGCCTCTGTTCGCGATACGAGCAACGTTAACTGGCTTTCCAAAGCCGGCCCTTTTTGTTCGCCAAAGAATCAATCGTTACAGAATCAACCTCCCATGCTGCGATTTGCTTTTCGTGAAGGGTGTGCATTGGCAGGGTTTACGAGAAAAGTCGGGAGTTTAACGCGTCTTATGGCGCACTCGAAAGTGCAGCTTTTACCACCGCGAAACGGGTTACAATCGCGTCATCAGGAAGCTTTCTGTTTTTTCGAAAGGTCGATATTGCATCGAAGCACAAAGGATTTGCTGGCATCGTTGCACTGATTGACCTTTATTCCCTGGCTGCAAGTAGGACGTACCATAAACGGAAATGGCTAGGTGAAAATAGAATAATGGTAGAACGTTTCCTCGGGGAAACGATTGGTAGAACGATTCAATACAGAGTGAGGAATTTAAAACAGGTCGTCTGAATGGCTCGTTCGCTTCTGATGATAGAAACTTGCTTGGTTTCAAAGGGCGCATAATCTGATATCAGTAATTTTTTCATAAGTGAAGGCGTAGCGGAGATGAGAAGGTGAAAAAATATTAAAATAGATATACATATATCTTATTTAAGCGGATTACGCGTACCTCGAAATGCTGCAAGTTTCCTCCAATGGTGACCTGGTTTAAATGCCCTACTCTGTATATTTTCATGAATTTTTCTCACAAATTTTGACACAACCCCTGTACACACCCTCTACGTCTAATAAATAAATAAATTTATAGGAAAAGTTTATCTTTCGTGGACGACGTTAGGAAACAGAACGATGATCACTTACGACGTTAAGATCGTTTCTTCCTGGCTGGTTTGCACATTTTACTTCTCCGCTGCACCTACGACAGGAAAGATCGAATAAAGTTTATAATGCATCTTCTTACCCCCTCTGTGCTGTGAGTCAAGGTCTCTGAGTCTATGTATAGCAACCGGTATACAAATTAGATTCACTGAACTTTATGACCAATCTTTGTGCAAATATTTCATGCAACTGTCAAACAACGTTCCCTTGTGACTGTTACCCGCTTCCGGCCAGCACGAATTCGTACGTTCTATTCGAATTTCAATCAAGTTCAATCGACACGACTGCCATTACTAAAAATAAACACGATTATAATTCTCGACTGGTATGCATTTTTAATTTAAACGTTCTATTACCACTTTGCATTATTATCTTCGTCTTTTTAATTATTTGTTAGCGATTCATAAGTAAAAAAAATGACGGTGCAATTAGTAATCAATATGCTCTTCTAATTTTTCCGTTTTATAACGACAAGTCACACACACGTCTCGTCGATTATCGTTCAAATGAAATAAAATGAATCGCGTTTATTAAATAATCGAATCCTAAACGCTTACTTATTACAATATTCCCGACTGTTTTACAATGTTCTACGCTTGCCGTGGGAAAGCACCATCCGTACTGATAGATCGACCAAGAGCGCGTAACTAATGAAGTGCAATTAATCGAACGCTTATCGGTCGCGTAAGGCTGACCATTATTCAATAACTGGGTTTATCATTTGCGAACGAGAAAGGTCGAGCACCTATCAGCGTTACTATCGTCTACGGATATCCCGTTTCGGCTTATCGCGAATTATCTTAATTGACGCAGTAGGAAGTTTCGCAAATGTCTACCAATCACGTGCGAACCGAGCGTACAAAATAATTCTGCATACAAAACCGTTTTTTGTAAAACGTCTGTTCATTGTTTCGCGACGGTTGGATACTTTTGCTCGTATGCTCACACGCGAGCGTGTCTCAATCTTTTCGTAGAACGAGTAACAATGACCATGAACATTGAAAGGAACTTGTGTACAGAGACGGCACAAACATGGCAAAGTATAAAAGAAAACAAAAGTGAAGAAAGTCCGTGGTAAGGGGGGAGGAATAAGGTCGGGGAGAAATGTAACGAAAGAACTGGCAGACAGACCCAGGTATTTTCGGATCGCCCGAGTTTCCAACTTTTCGGAACGTCCCCTAACGCGCTTTCAATCAGAACGAAAGCGTTCGATTCGATCATAAATATCCGAAGGAAGTTTCGTATTAATGTAGTTTCTTAACGGAGGAACTTGATCCGATAAATCTTTTCATCTTCTTATTTGAAATATTATCAATCGTACATTCGATTCTTATTAAAACGTTCGATAGACATTTTCAAAGCCTCTATTTGGAGGAGAACGCGACAGAAGGTACGGACGGAGGGTTAATCGTCTGTCCAATAGGGAAAAGCGAGGAATTCAATAAAGCTGTTAATTCGTTACCGGGGGTCTCGCAGTTTGTGATCGGCGTTATTCCATGGACGATCGAATTGCCTGAAATAGCAGGAGTTTCAGGTCGCTACGCTTGATTCCTCTCTCGTGTCCCATAGCGCGTGTACACATCGCACACCTCTGTATAAATGGTTTGTATCATACACAGAGACAAGCGCGTAAACACAGGAGCGTTACGAAAATAATGTGGGAGAGTTGGTGGGTGCCGGTGCTTCTTCCCTGGCACGATAAAAACGTTTCTGGCGCCTACACGGTAAACGAATTCTTCACGGGCAATCGTGACGGTGATGCGGTACGCGTCCGGAACCTGCTTAATGGCAAGCGCGGAACACAAGTATTTCGGTCGTGAAAGCGGAAGAACGTCGGGATGCCGTAATATCGTCTGGCTCTGTTGATAATCTACCGAATCCGTCCCGACCACTGACTGCTCGTAAACTTCTCGTTCAATTTTGCCACCGGTGCCTTTTCCACCTTTATGGACCATCTTTCGTGAGAACCGAAGACTCCGGGACCGTCAATTTTCTTATCTCCGAGAAAAGTATCTTGAAAAGTATTCGAAGGATATTGCTACTTGAAAATTCAATCAGTTTAAAACGCTTCTCTTATAAGTAGGAGAACGAATGTAGCCAGAGGTGTTAAAGTCGTTTAACAAGAAAAATAATTCTCGCTTTGCATGACTATTTATCGAGAAGAATAGCATTTGCCGACGTTTTGTCGACTGCCATTACGGTCGCCAAGGAATTAAATTTAATTAAAAAAATGCATAAACACGTTTGTTATGTGTTGTTTTTACTGCACCATCCCTGGTGTTTAACGCGCGCTTCCTCTGACAGAATAATTTTATATTAGAATTTTTGCATCCTCCTTCGCAAGGTTCGCCAGCGGGAAGTTTTAAATAACTAATACACCGTGCGAGCAGTTTCGTTCCAGCGTGAAACGAGTTGCGTACATTATACGCTTATGCAATACCACGTAACCCCTTTATAACCTACCATCGAGGGAAATGAATGAAATTATTGCTGGAAGGCTGACGGGAATGAATGGAAGCCCTGGCTGTTGACAAAACGTGAAAGTAAGCGTTCGTGTACCGCGTAGCTTATTTTCTTTCTTTCTTTCTTTTTTCTTTTTTAAACGTCGCATTATCCCTGAAGTAGCCATTACACGAAGCGGTTTAACGCACACGTACGGTACACACGTGCTTGTAAATACAGTGCAAACATTTGCACTCTGATATCACGTAAGTGGAACGCCGTGGAACAATATTTGCACAGCCGATGAATACCGGTGTTACTTGAATTTGGAGCAACGTCGAGCTACCAGAGAATTTCTTCGTGCGTTAGATTAATCGACGCGTGGCGGTGGTTCAATTACCGACTACGTCGATCAATAATTACGTAACTTCCGGTACAGCCTTTGAAGGACGAATTAAGCTGACACGACATTGACCGCTCGATCGCTCAATAACGCAACCCGGTCGCTTCGAGAAGAATGGAAATAAATGAGGGTCATGACCCGTGTTCCGCGGCTAGAATTCTTGCAATCTTCTCGACACGAGAGGGGTTATTCGTTATTCGTAACTGGTTCAGATACAATTTCAATCATTCCAGAAACCCTGGATACCAGTAGGTTGCAATTTCAAGACCCATTAACCCATTTTTACCCCGACTCCTATTCAGAGATTTAAGTACGATCCGAACAATACGAAGATTCGACGCTGTTAATTGAAATTATTACCAGCATCGTGGAATATCGATGTAGCCGACACGCGTGAAGCTGAATCCCCTCCTTTCGACAAGAAGGTCAAAAGTCGGAGTAAAAAGCGAGAAAAATGTACGAGGCGAAGATAAAATGGTAGACGGTCGGTTAATATCAGCGAAGGTGAGGAACAGCTGGAGGCAACAGACACGAACCAATATTTCGTAATGGAAGAGACGCTTTTCGTCGTTCGCGGAAAGCCGTGTGTTTACTCCGCCATTTCTTGGTCACGCTTCGGATTCCCTTGACCTCGAAAATCCCTTGGGAGAGCCGCATCCAGGGTCGCGTCGATCCCTCCATTGTTTCCCCACTTTCTTATCCTCTGTCTCATTCCACAGTGAAAACTGTCACAAATGGACGATCGTTTCGTTCAAATCTACTAGAGTCATCCGTATTCTAATTATTTCTAAAACACTGGAATATTTTAAAATAAATCTAAATTAAGAATCTTATTGCAGGGGAAGATTAACGAAAGGGTTTAATGAAATTCCGTGGTGGTGGTCATCGGTGACCACCTGCGCAGCCGGCGTGTTAACGAATCGTTTGTTCCTTAATTTCTCTCACCATCTCATTACGATGCACTTGCTCGACTGCGTTCCCTGCCTTGGTGCGTGTACGAAATGCACGGAATACAATGCTCGTGCGGCACGAACACGCACTCGTGGCAGGTACACGCACGGAAAACGCAAACGGAAGGAGTAACAGAGGTGGAGAAAAAGCAGACGAAGATAAACAGGTGAGCAGAGTTCACGATATCAGAGTGACAGAGAGAGAGAGAAAGGCTGAGGAAGAGAGCGAGAGGAAAGAAAAATATAGGTAACGAGTAGCTTCGGACAACTGACAGCAGATGAACGTGTGCGTGCGCTTTGTGTACAATGCTCGACTGATACCTCGTCGATTGAAAAACCTCTATCATTCTGTTTATGTTCCGATACGTTTCAGAAATAGTTTCGGATCAGTCTACGAATCGGAAGATTACGTTTATGCAAATCGAACCGGACAGCTGCTGGTTATAAAATCGAAGGCGACTGGTTATTTCAAATTAGCGATCGATGCGAACGACCGCGATCCAGCGTACGTCACGATCCTCCGTATTATCACGTTCGATTCTAAGTAAATTTCTCGCACGTCAATCGACAGTTTGTGCGGTCAGCGGATGTCCAAGGTTCCCGATGAAACGCAACGTGTCCCTGACGTGCAGTAACCGTGGACGATCGCGGACCACGTTCGAGGCATTCGCGGACACGATATCGCTAATGATATTTTCTTTCTTTTTCTTTCTTAAACTGTTTCTCGCCTTACCGTGTGTGAAACTACCGGCTGAAACGACGCTGGCGATCGTGTCTCTCTCTTGGATCACATTCTTTCACGGTTCCTCTCTCGCGATCGGTTCCCACTGCGGAGCGCACACGCGGTCACCGCGTCTAGGGGTGAGAAAATTCAACGAAAAGGGGAAAAAAAAGAAGGAAAACGTTGACGAGCAACGGGTATAAGAGGAACGCACGTTTTCTCAGCGCAACACTGAACGCCCTTCAGGCGCGGCGGAAGAAACTGACGGTGCGACACCGTCTGTTGACGGGCAAGCCTCTAGCCTGGCTCGATACCGTCCTTTTCTCCTGCGCGCATGTGCCGCATTACTATCTCGCTGCTCACCGCTCTGTTTCTACTTGCTCGGTTAATAAGCGCGGTATCTGCTATGCACTCGCATCTTTCAATTATTCCGAATAAATCGGAATAATAATTGAACCTGGAAATGCGATATAATTGAGTAATTAATCCTTGAACAGCGGACTCCTGATTAAACTACAAAACATATTAATTTGAAATTAAATGTACAATTTTTAAACGGAAGAATTTCATATATCGGGAGAATAATTTTTAGAAGAACAGTGTAAAATTAATATAGAATCAGGGCTCTCTCCATGGTCTGTCGTCCAAAGGTTACAGTACATTGCAAGGGTAGAAAATAAAATGTTAATTAACGAATGATTTGCTTCACTAATTTCTTCCTCCCTCTTCCTGTCAAATAATGCAAAAGAAACACGTTTTCACGCAAGCTCGATGAATGAAAGTGTGTTTTGTATATTTAAGGCTACACGGTCTCCAAGGATCGAAGGGTGTACGCGACAAGTTTCAGGTTGATTACATTCTTGCCCTGTCCCCACCAATGTTTAATGAATATTTTAATTCTAAATTTGTTCCAGCTTAACTTCCTCGTTCGTTAATTCGAGGAATTAACCTCCGTGAAGAGATTAAAATTAAGGAGGGAGATCGGTGACGAACGTTGCGAAAGTAATTAACTTAGATGATTAGAAAATGAAAAAAAGAAAATTACGAACACGAATAAAATTACAGTAGTAATTTAGAATAAATTAATTGGTGGAAACTGAGTGTAACGAAAAGGAGAAGCTTTTCTCTCGAACCAAATGCGTTATATCTTAGAAAGCAATTTGTTTTGTTGTGTTTTTCTTTTCTATTATCTCATCCATCGGCCTAGTACTTCCGTGTCCCTGAATACTTACAGAGTGATGATTCTACTCCGAAGCAGAGTGCCAAAATTACTACCTCTTGAATGGAAACACGTTTCGATATATATTTAGAATCTTCGAGTGAATAGTGGATAAATAATTTTGATGCCTTAACATGGACAGGAAAAATTTCAACGTATCTGACTCACCGACTACTTTTCCCTCGATTTTGTAAAATATCTTATCTTTCGCTTCTCACGGCCCTGTAGATTCGAATTCAGGCTATCATTAATCAGAATTGGAACTTTCGTACACGCGAATTTAAACGAGTCAAGTATTCTTCTCGCATCAAGGAACATATTATAAGAATCCGCGGAGTGTTGAAGAAAATATCCGTTTCAATGAGCAGGCTTTTAATTAACGCAACCGGCGATTGCATATACACTTGCGCAAACGTTAATATTGACATACAAACAGGAATAAATTATGTAGACTCGAAATGTTGTTTCCTATGCTATGTTTCAGTGGCAAATGAAAGTTTGAATCAGAAGATATAAATATCTTTCATCGTGAACAGAGGAAATTCAGTTATCTATACTCGTAGACAGGTCACGTCTACGTAAACATCTGCTTCTGATCCGTGAATTTTCTGAAAAATAACAAACTAAATATATTAGAAGCAACAGATCAAATGTTTCCTCGTGGTTACACTGTAATAACAAAATAGTATCGATTATCAAAACAAGCATTATCAAAATAAAATAGCGTCTATGCTTGAAGCCTCTTTTATAATTGTCACCTGATTCCATATGCGTGTTTAATTAAACAAAAAACGGTGTTGTCTAAGTAACAAAGTCCAGAAGGTTGCGTAACGGTAAATCAATCGTTAAGCCTTGTAAACTCGCATGTGAGATTTTCTTGCGCCAATCAATAACACCAATCAAAAATTAACTGCTTATCAACAGAATTACATTAGCATTCGAATCGTCTGATTAAAGAGTTAATTCTTCGCAATATTATAGAGTGCCGTGCTAAACACGACTATTTCTACTGCGACAGACAGCGCTTTAACCATAGCTGGAAGTTCGCTAAATTTCCAAGAAAATCTCGTTACATTTAAGAGGGTAGACACAGGTAATGCAGCGAGGTGACGTTACCGGCAAAAATGGTCCTAAAAAGGGGTTTACGGGAATACACTTTTCGTCCTTATATGAAAAGATTTGGGGCTGGGTGAGGGCTCATTCGAAAGAGGAAGGTCCAATGCAGGGCGGTCAACTGATGGTTTAACGAGATTGTGTCCATATTTAATAATATCAGTGTCCAAAATAGAAGAAAAAATCGACAAAATGCAGTTGCGGAATCGAAGCATTTTTAGACCACTAAAAGAATTTTGTGACTCAAACAGTGAGTTAACTGTCCTGCATTGAACCTTCCCCTTTTGAATGAGCCCTTATTCAGCTCAAGATCTTCTCATATAAGAACGAATAACCGATTCCCGTGAACCCCTTAACAGGGCCATTTTTGCCGGTAATGTCACCTCGCTGCATTACCCATGTCTACCCCTGCAAATGATTGCGCGTATACTGAAAGAATGGACTGCGCCCTACAGAAAAAACGAGGAACTAAATTTGTGGTCTGTTTTACCTTTTTGACGTCTTTCGGACCGAGCTCGAAGCATCGATAGCGCAATCGAGGAAGAACAGTTTTATCAGAGGAGCAACACAACGCTGCGCTATCTGTAAAACTCTGATCGAACAAGCGTCGGTATACAGTTCCTGGTCGATAACAACGAATTTCCCTTTGGTTTAATCGAGATATCGATATCGTATCGATAAGAAGCGCTCGAATTTCAAATCGATCGCGGGATAGACGGACAAGAGGTTTCCGATTTCATTTCCTTTGTTGGCTCTGATAAAACCTCCTATCGCTTTTGTCAACGATGCTGACAATATAATGCTTACTTCTGTACACTTTAGAGGTCGATAGAGGTTCCGTGTAATTTCTCTTGATTCATTATTCTTCCTTGTTTCTACGAATGATAAATTGATTTTGTTTCAAATTTTGATATCGAACGGAGCACCGAGAGTAGTTCAATTACCCAGAGTTTTCACTGAGAGAAAATGACAACGGAAGCTTTGAAATTTTCCCTTTAAACGCATAGCTGTTTGAAATGCAATTTTCTTTTGACAAACGGTCCAGTTAGATGGAAATCCCAGGAGGCTGAGCTATCGCAGATAGGACAAGCAGCTTGTCTGCTTGAAAAATAAGCCAGCGTTGTTCGGTAGATTTCTCGTTTTTGTAGAAAGTACGTTCAGCTAGTATTCTTCGTCCCAATGGAATTTACACGACGGAACAACTCAATGATCTTTTTACACGTGGTCCGAGTAAGCAACGTGCTGTGACTTGGACGTTCTCACAAAAAAGGAAAATAGTTAATTGTAAAAGTAATTTCCAGATTTCGTAACCAACTCGCTAGAAGGAATTACCATAAAAATCCTTTCTGGCACTCGTATCTTTCTGTTTCACGCTTCATATAACATACACAGTTTGATTAGTCTGCTAATAAAATTTCCTCTCTATGAGCCTTGTTAATTACCGTCCGACGCGTTGAAAGAAGCGACGTATCGCGCGAGACACGAAAAGGAAGTCACGAAAGCGACCGGGCTGTCGCTGAGAAATAAACGAGCTACTCTTTTTACACGGGCGAACTAACTGGACAGACCGCAGGGGTGTTAACCCGTCGTTTTGAATATGCATGGCGGTTCTCTTTCCCCGATGCTCTAGAGTCTGGGGATCTACCCGTATCCTTCTCCCTTCTGTTTTACTCTTAACCCTTATTCCGGCCACCCTCGCTACGAAATTAACTCGAATTCCCGAGCTTCCTTTGATGTCGCCCAAAGTGTCACTGACCATCGTTGGCCGCTTCCAGTTCCACGTTACAAGCGTCGAATCCTCTCGCTTAACGAACTGACGATACATTTTCTGAACTCGACTCGTCACTCAGCTTCGCTCGCTGAATTTCGGTAAAAGGTAAGACGCTTCTATTCGAAACGTAAGTAGAGCAACCCCTTTCGATCTCAAGAGTTTTGGCAGAGAATATTTATCGAGGATCTAGATGCGTTTAATTGGAAGAGTAGACAGCTCTTGTCATAAATCCTGGTTCAACAATCTCAACTGCCACATATTTTTCTCTCCATACGAACAATGTCTATCGTGGAACGCACGAATGGCTTGGATTAATAACCGAGCGGCAAGAATGCGTGCGGAGTTCACGGATGATTTATGTTTTCCGTGCGTGACTCGAGATTGGGTGTCATCCGGGGCATCCAGGTCCGGGTTGTTGATGGTTATTCGATCGGGTATTTCGGCGAAATAATCGCTACCTTGATATTCTTTATTTCAAGTTGACTGCAGGTAAAGGAGGAGGCTCTTTTGGTAATGGCAGAAAATTGAAAACCGTGTCAGTGATCGAACTGGTTTCCTATTTCATTTTGAGAACAATAGCCCGTTTCTGCAATATATTCATTTCGGGATTACGATTCATAGGTACGCATTAAGCTGTGACATGTGTCGTACGATGGCGTGCACATGTTGCACGGGATGCGATGCCACTCGCACGGCTACGTTTCCTGCTGGAACGTGCTTTGGAAAGAAACGAAGCAATTTCGTAATTGCGTTCCTTGCTGCCAGGGAAACTGAGTAACGTACACGCTTCCCTAATGCCACTCGGTGATTTACGTTATCTACGCGACCGTAGAATCTTGGAAATTCCGGCTCGATTATTTCCTCAAATACTTTGTCGGTAACGCTTAACGCTCGAGTCAATCTCTCGATTCCGAGCTAGTCGATTCCAAATTACCGTTTACCAGCGACCCGAGGGCTAAAAAGTGAAATACGGTGGAATCGGCTTGAACACGCTCCACTTGCTTCGTGCTCGACGTTAAATAGCGAGGATCGAAGATATAGTAGTTTGCTCTAGAAGGAAATTTCTTCGAGTTGCGATGATAATTTTAACGCAATCAAATAAATTCAGTGAATTGAACGTTTCCATTTTTAACATACCGATAGCTTTGGTACGTCAGAATCGTTGGCCAAATTGCTGACGTTAGGAATAA